CCGGAGTTTCTTGCAAAAAAATTTTAAGAGATGACATGAGCAGCCCTACCAGCATTTGCCATGGTGGCCAAAACATTTTTATTTGGTCTTAAATTGTAGTTCAACATTTATTTCCTGTTACTTCTGGACCATGACGGTTGGCCAGCCTTCAACGTTTAACTGAGTGGAATATGTTGAATATGTTTTACCAAAATGTTGGCAGGAGTTTTCAGTAGGTTGTGACAGTGCACTGCAACATATTTGATTTAATTTGGTCAAATTTATTTTTATTTATCATAATATTAATATATGTTTAGTATGGTTTTGGAAGTGCGCTCCAACATATTTGTTGATCTTGTTTATTGGTAAAATATTATTTGTTTTAAAGTTCAATAAATGGTCAATGAATAATCGTGATATCAATTATTGACCCAAATAATTGTGATTATGATTTTTGCCATAATCGCACAGCCCTACTACATCTGTACTTTGATCCTGTAAACTTCAGTCAAAAACAACAGTGGCTGGTGGAGTTTGCCCTTTGTGGCAGAAGCTTTTTGAAGCACAACCAAAGGCTAACATGTTCTATTTACTCTCTTATCTCCCACTACTACTGAGTATATGGAATGGCTGGGACCAGTGATGCTGAAATGATTTTGAAGTGAGCATCCAATCATCTATGTTTGAAATAGAAAATGTATGCAGAATAAAAAAAGTATGCAGAATAAAAAAAGCAGTTACCTCCTCACCTTCCTCAATATGATAATCCTTCCTTGTATTTGGACCTCCAACAAACATGATAATCAACTGGGAGAAATGCCTGAAGAAAAGGGTATTAAAGACAAGCTTATACTCAATACCCTCAAAGAGACAATAGAACTCCATAAGTGGTTAAAACATACACACATAACAATGTGGCTTTAATGAAAGTCAAATTACTCACATGAGCTTGTTGCACACTGGTGGCAGAAAGGCATTCTCATTCTGTGTGATCCAGTTTCCCACATTCACAAGAGGAGGACTGCTGCTCATTTTTAAAACTAATTGTGCTTTGTGCTAAAGTGTTAAGCTTCTCTTATAATCTGCTGCGTCGACCAGTATACACAATGTGACTGATACCAGTAGTCCAAAATACAGAAGTTCAAGTGAGCCAAAGGGGAGGAGCTCTGTGTTCAGAGGTTCAGACAGATGAAAGGTTGCTTGCTATTGTCACCATAGATTGTCACTACCGTTCTCGTTGTAACTCTCGTTGTAATTGGAGCGGCTCGGAAACACATCTACAGCAGTAACATGATGCAACATACACATTAATGCAGCAGGAATATTAATAGAGAAACATCAGACATAATAGTAAAACACTGCAAGGGAACATTTTATTGCACCAGGAACTATCTTGGGACTTTTACTGCGGCAACGTTGACTTGCCTGTGAATAAAAAATAAACCATAGTATTGGTGATCTACAGTGTTGTCATTCTTCTTTGAACACCAGCAAGACCGCTAACACCCTATTTCAACAATCACACTCCCTGTAATTGACATAATTAATAGATAATAATAGTTTAGCTTCTCATCATCATTTGCTGTGGCCCACTGATGTTAACGATCGTAACTGAAAGGCTGCCTGCCAAACGTAAACATTCAGCCACGTGACATTCAGCCAAACTCTCGCGAGAGTTTTACACAAGACGGATCCTTTCTAGCCATAACCCTACCCGATCTACAGCTCTGCCCGATCTGCAGTGCGCATGTGCGAGGTGGTCTGCCATATTGGAGAACTCCGGACGGCAACCCAAGAAGGACACTTGACGCAGTGGCTTTTGGCAAAGCTGAAAAATAAAGAGAGAGAGAGATGAGTTATTGTTATTACAACGTGACTTCACTATTAGTTAACAACTCTTTTTATTGGGTTCCGGTTGTCCTAAACGTATAGTACAGTAAATAATAAAATAAAACGGCGACAATCTAGTAAACATCCAGATAGTAAAACAATATATAAAAACCTGTTTGGCTTATTTACAAGCGATGACGCGATGAAAGTAACTGAGACAAAAGGGATTAAGAGAGAAAAACCGAACGTTGTTCAACCCCAGTGGTCAAAGGACTGGACGGTAAACCGTGATATTGCCAAATTGTTCTCTTTTCCTCTATTAGATGATTTTAAATAATATAATATAACGACTGTAAATAACAGTAATTAACGTAACCGACACTGGACATAATGCGACTAGTAGACTCCCTCTACTGGCTTGGTAATTACAAAACTATTAGGCCGAGATGTACAATTAGACAATCTAAGGGACCTCGAAATAGTGAACTGTCGATTGAATAAAAATCTACCAGTGCAGAGAGAAGCACTAAACAACAATAAAAAAGCGAAAAATTAAACAGAGGTTTTTGTGATTATGTGGCAACTTCCTCATGAAGCGATAAGCATAATAAACTGGTATGCGTAACGAGTAGACACACCAAAAAGCAAGAGTGAGAACGTAGAACACGCCTGCAGACATACCGGAGGGGTCACCGGAGATTTAATCTAAACACGAGAGAAAAGATTACAAATGATGGACACCTATATTGGAGGTATTCGCCATAACATCCGGGGAAAACTAGCCTGCATCCTATACGTCGAATAACGAGGTTTTACTCAGACAATTTCCGCTGAGGCGTGCAATGCCTCTGGGAGGTAATACCGAAACAAATTCGCGTAAGCCAAAGTCGAACAGCCTGATCGTTGTCTTGGTTCCCCCCGGAACCGAAACGCTTTCCAGTTAATGTAACGTGCTATTAAAAAAATTAGCTCAGGGCCGGCGATTATATATCATGATATGGATTTGTAGTATATTACTTTCGTCCCCTTGTCGTAAAAACACCACCGTACTTTTTGTGTTCACACCTAGGCCTGTTAATGTTCACACTTTAGGGAAAACCGCTAGTAGGCTTTATGTTTCACACTTAGGAAGACACACCCGTACACAACATAATATCTGACAAGGACTCGGGTAGTCCAGAGGGACTTTGTTCTCTAGATTACTAGAGTTACCCTGGATTAGTTACCAATTGTATTCCAAACTTTAATTTAATTTAACTTTAAACCTGGTTACAGTTTCACAACTACAAGAACAGATTGTCCTTAGTGGGCACTAAGTTCTCGACCGGACACAATTTGTATAACATCGGATAACCGAAGAAGATTCCGAAATGTAAAGTACTGATCAATGTGTACCCAAATATCCAGACCCCGTCTCAGCTGCACCGTCTTCGTTCCGATTCAATCAGAATAAATACTTACACCCGTTCGTCGGGAAGAAGACCAGGTCCCTTATCTTTGGTTGTGTGTAAACCTGTACTAAGCGCGAAGACGTAAACTTTCGAGAAGCAGTGTAACAAAATAGGGTAAGGAGCAAGTTTATACGCGTAATATCTTTCTATTTAGTTATTCGATTTACACCGTTTTTCGTACCATCGACGCAGGTCGAGGGCTAGGTAGGTAGGCAGGGGGACGGCTAAGACAATCGAGCGCGTACACCCTCTACCAGCGTGTATAACCTCTTGAGGCCTGCCGTTGGGTTCTCCTGTGAACCTGTCGTCACCGGAAACCGTTTCGACTTTTTATGTTTGAACTCTCCTACTACAATAACAATAACTTGTTGCAACTGAGAGTGATAATAAATTTCCGTTCAGAAAAATAACCCAAGAAAATGAACCCCATGGTTATGACCTCATGTAACAGTTTTACTCACTCTAACTAAATTCGAAGACAATGCTGGCTGGATACGGTATGTAATAGAACGTATGTAAGTCTTTTTTTGTTTCAATTTATACATAGGTATACTATCGACAGATTGTCTTCCAAATGTAGGAAAGAGTGAATAAACTGGTTACATGAATTGNCAACTGCAACAAGTACATCTGTGCTATACACACAAAGAAGTTCTGTACATCATGTGTTTCCTAAACGGACTTGCCCATTGACTCACATAATGTTCTGCAGCGTCACTTCATCAATATATTTTTCGGATATACTGTATTTTATGAATAGTGACTGTTAATTGTTTTTATTTGCTTTGTGTCTGTTCTATGTAATTTATATGGATGTTTCATTCTCTCTATATTTCACAGCCAAATACTTTTGGATGTGTGTTTCTTGTGTTCCAATTGCTGCTAAATTGCTTTATTTCCTTCAGGGCTTTGATTATTATATGACAGAAAATAATAAACATTAATGAAAAAAATGTTCATTTACATTTGTCCTAGAAAAGCATGAGCAAAATGTAAACCTAGTTTTTATTACAGTGTATTATTACAACATAAATTACATTTTTATCACAAAAAACAATGGACACTTCCATTGTTAAATTTGATCTAGCAAAGAGTATTTTCAAAAACTAATCATATATTTCATTTATATTGTTGGGGAATGATCTAAAGACAATATATATATAAGGAATTGTGCATGTTGAATTTAGTTCTGTATTTTTTTTAAACCCTGAAATATGTCCCGGGTCAATTTGACCCGAACATTACCAAAGGGTGCGAAATGTGAACATAACACAAGGGTTAATACCTTTAGTTACTTTACAGATTTGGATTAAGGATGTGAAATATAATCAACTCTTAAATTGGACTTTAGTTACACCTGGAGTAAATTCACAAGCTACTCTGCAGTATACAAAAAGTAACTAGCTGCACCTTTACCAGCTTAACACTTTATGCATCAATAATTATAATCAAAACATATAATGTATATTATTCTGAGATGGACCGATCTGCAGAATAAGTACTTTTGCTATTAAGTATATTTTGATGCTAACGCTTTTGTACTTTTACTTGAGTAACATTTAGATTGCAGGACTTTTGCTTGTAACAGAGTATTCCTACACTCTTTTACTTCTATTTTACTCAAGTACAAGATCTGAGTAGTTCTCCAACCTCTGCCTTTATATACATATTTTAATTAAAGTAGCTTTCAATCCAACAATCTGAATGCATTTCTCCTCAGTGGAGGCCAACAGCAGCAGAGGTTGCCTACCTGTTAAGGTTTAAAACATGCCATTAAATACACAGCTCCACTCGTTTATAGTTGCTGCCAAAGATACATGGGACGGATGCCTGACTGCTGACCTGAATTAGCTGTTTGATGCCTTTGGCTGTGCCATGGGAAAAAGGACAGTCTGTACTTTGAACAGCGACAACTAGTTTCAAGGGTGGGGTAATGTTAAAAGGAGAGCATTTCAAGAGTGAGGCAGAACATTGGATGAATACACTCGAAGAAGCTGGCTGAGATGGAGGGAGAGATGTGAAAAGGGAATGTTTTATATTACTCCCGATGCTGTTATTTTTGTCTTTTAGTTTGAAAAAACAGAATAATATATCAATCATACATTCATTTATTATCCTAATATATATTGTTTTTGTATAACCTCATACTTAAAATACAAGATAATTCAAGAAGGACATTTTTACAATATTAAGTGCATGCTTGTGTGCAGGCGTCTTGCAAGGTTTAGAAATGCAATTAAGGTGATTCTCAAAATTGCTCAACCAGAGTAGGTTTGTTTTTGTCTCCCAGTTAAAACGGCCTCCAGATGATAGGTTTCTCTTCCATTGTCCCTGTGATTACACATCCCTTGCGATGCTCATTTCAATTTTGTCAGGGATAATGCCACTTGATTTTCTGCTGCTGAATCTTTACAAAACATCTATCTATCAAAGTATCCATATAAATCATCCCTGACAGGGTATTTAAAAACAAATACACATTCAAATCATAAACGCCAATTCACACAGCACCTTGGCACTGACTGGAGCCCAGCATCAGATTATCAGACTCTCGTCTTCTTCTCCTTCTATCAGTGTCCACAATTACATTGATTAATAGTGGCATTTCATTCTATTCTTTTCATGACTGGCAATTGCTTTCTGTGCAACAATGTGAACATGAAAACAATAAACAGCTAACAATAAACAGCCATGCACAGAACATGTGTGTGTGTGTGTGTGTGTGTGTGTGTGCGTGCGTGCGTGCGTGCGTGCGTGCGTTCGTTCATGTGTATGTGGAGACGCTGTGATGAGAAACAACGTTCAGCTACATGACTCACATATTTGGATGAACACACAGAATCAGGATTTCATTGAACGTTGGTGCACCACTGGCTTGGAGACAGATTCCACTGCTTCAAGAAAACACACTTTGGTCAAGAATAATCAATGAGTGTGTTCAGCCGTGAATCAAGATGAGTGGCTTCAAAATACGTGCTGGTATCCTGCAGAAAAATAAGTGGTACTTTTGGTGCTTTGATTTGATTTAGCTCTTTTTTATAGGCAACCCTTTAAGAAAGAGCATAGGAATGAGTGCTGGGAAATATGGAGAAAAATTAATTTTATGTTATCTTTGAAGAAAACCTCAATATCGATATTGCAATCATTGTTTTACTTCTGTAACATAGTGACATTACTATGTAGCACTCAAGCTTCTATTGGCTAGCGTTCCTACACATTGTACATGATAGGTTTCAAACAGAGGGTGAAAAGAGCTGCTGCAGCACAGGAAGTATGAGAAAAATAAAGAGCTTTTTGAACGTTAAAGACTGGAAACATGTAGAGGCACAAAAGACCAATATTAACCAGAAAATTAGCATTATACGGCCAATTAAAACAATTGTTTTGGTTACCTTAACCTCAAACTTCCAGTCAACAGCAGCATTTTATCCTTATCACATACAAGCTAATAGTCGCATTTCTTATTTTTGAACATACAATTATCCCTAGAGTGGCCATCATATGAAACAAAAACTGTTCAAGATAGAATCGTCTTGATTTTCAATTCATCTGTGTAAAAGCGACCTGTAGTTGTTTGTGTTTTCGTTTCACTGAACCATGACTGCATCCCTGCAAGAACAAGACTGCCTCTGGAGTGTGTGTGTGTGTGTGTGTGTGTGTGTGTGTGTGTGTGTGTGTGTGTGTGTGTGTGTGTGTGTGTGTGTGTGTGTATGAGAGAGAGAGAGAGAGAGAGAGAGAGAGAGTGTGTGTGTGTGTGTGTGTGTGTGTGTGTGTGTGTGTGTATGTGTATGTGTATGTCTCTGTGTGTGTATGTGTGTGTGTGTGTGTTTGAGAG